CTCATGTGCTTCTCCAGCGTTGAATGAACGGAGAACGGCATTTGACAGATGTAACATCGATAGGTCTCCTGCACAGAACATACTGTTAGCACACGAGCATAGTGCTAAAAACCTGCAACAATGGATAACGCGCCTTGCCCTGTTGACCGTGCGTGCGCATGTGTCGCGTGAGTTTCGAGCTCTGCGCACACGCGTACGGGCACAACTTGCATTGGTACGGTTTCTCGCCAGTATGGCTGCGTAGGTGCACGATCAGATTTGAACGATTGGTGAACACCTGCAAAAGACGAAGTGTAATTTGTGTAACTGCTTAACAAAAAGTAGTGTTTGGGAATTAATAGCACAAGAATTGGGCACTACAGTGTACAACATCGTCAACTAATGAAGAAATTTTGGCGCAGCTCAGCTTGCTGGGGGCAGTAAACGGTACTTATCGAGGCCAGTTCATGCCACCTTGTTGGGACCTGTGAGTTCGTGTAACCAAAATGGCTCTCTTAGACTATCTTGCAGTTTCACAGGAGTTTCAGGTTGCACCAACAGTACTTAACAAGAACTAGCAGAAGGGACTAGCGAAAGTGCAAATTGCCCCTCACAAACCATCAGCACCGGAATTTTATCTGCAAATATCGAGTGGTTCAAAGTGCTCATAGCTGCATGAAGAAGATACCGAGGTGAAAAGAAGGAAGCGGAATTTGGATGCTGCGGCTCAACAGCTCCAAAGCGCAAAGATGTACTGTCAATGCAGCGCATATTTGGGAGGGCATGCAGAAGCATACGGCATGATCCTTCTAGTAGATGGGCGTAGAACAGGAGCATGGCCTGGAGCGCAGCCGGGGCTGGACTCCATCAACTTTAGCCGGCTCAGGATGACATCATTCTTGGAACAAGGCCGCCCTGGCTGCAATACGCGCCGCGTCACACGCCCTATCGTTTGCAGAAACCATGACTGTATCATGCAGAACAAAGAAGAAGGTCAAGCCGTGAGCAGGCCATTTGTAGGACTTGTTTCGTCAACAGAGGAGAAGAAACAAAATAATTCACAACACAAAATGTTCCCCTCCTTTCTTTTTCAGGAAGACTTCTGCCCTTTTTTTAAACTCCTGGACCTCTCGCTGGGGTATTTGGGGCTGACGAATTCCAGGAGGATAAAGGTAGAGAGCTGACAAAAGACCGAGAGATAAATTGGCCAAAAGTAGCCGTAATCCACCCCTCAGAATGAAGTTACCATGATCCACCTCCTCAGGATGAAGTCAATTCTCTCATCTTCATTATGATCACCCAATTCGGATGAGGAATCTTGTACACGCCCCCTAAAATTGCTCTAAAAAGATATTCCCCAGGGATAAACGAAAAACATGTCCCACGGATTGTCTAGGCTAGAGTCCACCCGAAAAAAAACCCATCAGTTCAGAAAGAAAACATCTGCTAAGTGAGATTCACAAGAATAGTGATGGAATATCGGGACCATGAGGTGAAAAAGTACGAGTATTTTTGACAGTAACCGACCCCAAAAACCTTGGTCACGAAAGAGAACTTGTTAGACCCTGATCAGAGAGCAGGAGCAAAACTAGTTTGAGGGAGCCAATGATGAGCTTGGCGCTATCTTGAGGTTTTGCAATTCATCTCTTGAATATTTTTTTTCAAATTTCAAAAACAGCGAGTAGTTCCACTCAAGGTATTCTTGTGTTACAACATCTCTACTGAGACTTTGGATGTAATACGAAATTTTACCCGACCTTACTGCAGAATGTACAGCGCTCCTTCTTCACATTTACTTGACGTCGAGCAGCCGGTTCAGCAAGTTCACCGTCGTCCACGACGATCAACTAAGAATAACGAGCGTTGGTAATAGACTGTGTTTAATTTAAAAAGAACAAGTCAAGCTCCACTTGGGAACAGGATAGCTCTCCACCTGTTCGCTTTCGTCTTCAGTGCGAGGATTCTTCTTGGGCGGAGCCGAGTCTTCCGGTGATTGCCGTCTTCGTATCGCCGATGCTGGTCGCGCAGGATTTGGTGTAAATGCGGACGGCTCGTCACTGTAAAAAATAAATAAGTTCCGAGACCGTTAGAAAATTCCAAAAACCATGGATCTGGAACTTCTGCCCAAAAACGTCTTCCAGGAATAGAAAAGAAAATTCAACTGAACCATGACCCGTGATTTGATAGCCGAGATCTACTCAACTTTTTACTGGTCAACGAGCAAATTGAAGAAATAACAGATAGCAAGCGTAAAAATGGAAATGACGCTTTCTTACGTAAAACGTATCCATTGAACTCATGATATACGGCTATGGCCAACCACTTGGAAGAACATCAGTGAGACGTGTACTCGTAAATTTACTGCTAACTGCACCAATACATAAGTTCGCTGAAGAACTTTCGTGCGCCCATCTTGGCGAGGGTATAAGTTTGGGTTGCAGGAAAGGCAGCCGTACAAGATCTACCAAAAAGGTTTGCATTCATGCAAAGGGGTGCAGGAAGATTGCCAAGGATTACGCTCGTACAGATCTTTCACTTCTATCGGTTATCCCACGAGATTAGAGGCAGCGGAAGGTAAGGAGTGAGATGAAGCCGGACATTTAGGCTGAACAACGCTGCGTTTCCCTGAAGACAACGATGAAGGAGGTGGACCCCAAACCCTTGAAAAGCAGTGGGCGTGGCTGCGTACTTCATTTGAAATTGGGGGCGGCTGCGCCTTAAGCGGGGTATTTTCATTTTGAGACAATTGTAGAACCTATTCAAGACTGACAGACAGCTATTCTCAACCCAGGAATGGTTCATCCTACACCATGATTAAATGGGATACGCAGCCACGCCCTTTTTTACTCAGGGATCTAGAGGTGATCTGAAAGGTGTGAGGCGTGCTTATGCGAACAAAGACTAACTTTTCACCTAGCAGCCGGCGCACTATACTGCAGGGCTAATCACTGCTGCCTGGTTGTTCAGGAGAAGCGCAGTATGGACGTTTAGGAGGCCTATCAACTAAGCACACTCCTTATCCCTGAGACGGAGTAGGCGTGGCATTTGAACATGGCACAGAATGGTTACTCGTGGGATATTTCAGCTTGAGACAACTGTCATCTTGTTCAGTGTTGAGCAGAGACATGACCACAATTCGTGTCAAAATGAAAATTTCTCACCAAAAGCACAGCCACGTTTAGTTGAAGTACGTAGACACGCCTACTGCTTCTCAAGGATATTGGGTGTATTTTGGGACAAATGTAAGCATTTCCCCTTTCTATATTTTGCCCAGTGCGGTTACTTTTTAGCGTAACTCGTCGACTTTTTCTGATGATTCCCGTATCAGAGCCCTTACTTCTGGTCAAAATGCTCACAACTGGAATGTTAATTTTTATTTTCCGTCAGCTGCAATTCTTCAAAAAGCTCTTACGTCTTCTGGAGTGCCGCGAAGAGTCCTGGCGACTGCGTAGGTACAGCTGCACCTAGGCCAAGCAGC